CAGAAAATGGATGGATGAATGGATGTCCCTCAGTGGGGAAAGCTTGGTGTCACCGCAGCAACAACATTCATTAAAGGAGCAACAAAGGAGAGTAAAAAATAAGAACAAACAAGAAAATATAAAATAGAAATACTTAAAAGATTCAAAAGATTAAAAAATAAAAATAAATTCTGAATGTATACACATTTTAAGGAATACAAGTATTTAAAAGAATTGAGACATAGCAGTAGCTCAACAGGTAGAGCGGGTTGTCCAGTAATCGGAAGGTTGCAGGTTCGATCCCGGCCCCGGACAGAGAATTCTGCTGTTGTCTCCTTGGGCAAGACACTTAACCCACCTTGCCTGCTGGTGGTGGTCGGAGGGACCGGTGGCGCCTGTGCTCGGCAGCCTTGCCTCTGTCAGTACGCCCCAGGGCAGCTGCGGCTACATCGTAGCTCATCCCCACCAGTGTGTGTGAATGGATGAATGATACACTGTAGTGTAAAGCGTCTTGGAGTCCTTACTCTGAGAGGCGCTATACAAGTGTGGGTAATTTATCATAATAAGTAACAAATACCATGTGCTTTATTTGAAAATCGTCTTGCTCGTGTGTAATTTGCTTATTCCAGATTCAGTGTTACTGCAAAAATCCGTTTGTTTCCAAATGAAAAGGTTCATATCTGTAGAAAAAGGAAAATGTACACATTGCCGTCACTTTTTAAAAAATATTGAGTTTGGCCCGCAACTTCATCCCAGTTTTTCATTTTGGCCCAGTGGGGATTTGAGTTTGACACCCCTGCTCTAAGCCATGAAAATGAATGTAATAAAACAAATTGAAAAAATGCCAGGAATGCTCTCATTATGAAGGTGAATGAGGCTGAAGATCACACTGAATTAGAATAGCAGACAGAATGCTTCAACAGGAGGGAGGTGCTTGAAATAATCAATCTTTGTCAGTTATCAGTCAGGAAACGTGCAGCGATGCTTTACACAAAAGGGATGGCCGAGCTGCATATATTGCAACTGGATGAACCATTTAATGGATCAAGTACTTCAAGGGGTAAGGTTTAATTGTGAAAAAGGCTTCAATCAGTCAATCAATCAATCAATCAATCAATCAATCAATCAATCAGTCAGTCAAAGCTTTTGGGCAGCCCAAGGCGCCGAACATGGTACATGAGCAATGTGAAACATGATGAATAAATCGAAAATAAAAGCAATTCAAATTGTGCAAAAAAGGTAAAACATTAAAGTAGAAAACAAATGGGTAAAACAAGGGATAAAGAGACCAATGAAAACAGGGAAATAAAATCAACATAAAAGAGGGCCAAATTCAAACACGTTCAGGGAACGCCAAGCGGAGGAGGTGGGTTTTTAGGCGACTCTTGAAGACTGGCCGAGATGGGGACAGCCTAACTGAGAGTGGCAACTGGTTCCAGAGTGATGGTGCTAGGACTGAGAAAGCCCGGTCCCTGCGAGTACGACACCTAGAACGAGGGACAGCGAGCAGACCTTGGTCAGAGGAGCGCAGATGGGGAATGTTTGTTCAGGAGCGTGGCCAGATGGGGGGAGCACCACCCTGGAAGAAATTGTAAACAAACACGAGGAGTTTAAAGTGTGAACAATTACAGACCGGAAACCAGTGCAGGGAGTTCAGAACCGGACTGATGTGGTCCCGTTTCCTGGTCCCAGTCAGGAACCTGGCTGCACTGTTCTGCACAACCTGTAGGCGACGCAGTGATGACTGACACAACCCTGCATGTAGAGAGTTGCAGCAATCAAGCCTAGAAATTACAAAAGCATGGAGTACCTGCTCCAGGTGGGCTCTTGACATTTTTGATTTTTGCAAGGCGTCTCAGATGAAAGAAACTGGACCGGATCACAGAATTGATGTGAGCATCAAATTTAAGTCCAGTGTCAATTTTCACCCCCAGACTGGTGACAACTGGTTTTGAGTAGGGAGAAAGAGTACCAAGATCAACATAACGACCCACAGCCCTGCTGTTGGGGTGAAAACAATGAGCTCTGTCTTTCCCTCTTTCAGATACAGAAAGTTGGCCATTAGCCAAGACTTCACCTCATTAAGACAAGACACAAAGGACTGGATAGAGTGACCTTTCTCCTCACACAATGGAGAGTAAATCTGGCAATCGTCAGCATACAGATGGAATGATAGGCCATGTTTACGAAAGATTGACCCCAGAGGTAGCAGATTAATTGCAAACAAAAGAGGGCCAAGGATTGATCCCTGCGGGACCCCCCACCGGAGCCCCTTCCAAGAAGAAAAAACATCACCCAGTTTAACACAGAAAGTCCTGTTGTGGAGATATGATCTAAACCAATCCAGAGCAGACCCTTTGATCCCAACCCAATCAAAGCAATCAAGTAGAATCGTGTGGTCAACTGTGTCAAAGGCTGCCATCAGATCTAACAACAGAAGCAGCACAGATGTTCCCTGATCTAGTGATAGATAGATATCATTTAAGACCCTCAGTAGAGCTGACTCTGTGCTGTGGCCAGACCTGAACCCTGATTGGAAAACCTCAAACAGATCAGAGTCAGCTAAATGTGAGACCAGCTGCTGATAAACGACTTTCTCAAGCAGTTTAGATGTAAAAGGCAGGGTAGAGATAGGCCTGTAATTTTCTATCACAGATAATTCAGCAGCAGGTTTCTTCAGGGTCGGCTGAACAACTGCTGCTTTCAAAGCAGCTGGGACCACACCTGTGCTGAGGCTCCCATTGATAATCTGACCAAAGCCCTTTTCAGATAGACATTCTGGAATATGTGTGGACAATTCAATCCGGTTTTTAACCAGAACTGTGTTTTCAGACACACCACTTTTGTACCGGGACTTGTCCTTTCGGCACACAAAGACGCATAAGACCTGGATGATGGCGCTCAGTGGTTAAATGAATCACGGAAGCGGTGTGATGCGCTCCGTCGCGCGTCTAGACGGTACTGTAGGAGGCGAGCTGCCATGGTATGTCGCATGCTACAGGAGCGAGCTATCTAGGAGCGCACAGCATCCCCCGGTCCCCTCCTCCTCCCCCTCCTCCCTGTCCGGAACTTGACCTCACCAGTCTGAAGCAGGCACCTTGTCCGTAACAAGTCCGGACCTGTTACTAGGGGCATCGTCCAGTTTAATTACGGAAAACGTTATCCGGATGTTTGTATTCAGACACAAAGGTCTTACGGATAGAGTCCGGAACATTTCCGTTTTTCATGGCCTGTCTGAAGGGGGCTCAAGTGATGGGCCAAGACACGGAAAGGCAGCCTTCCAGAGACGAGGCGGCAGAACAGCAAGTGGAGAGCCAGATGGCTTCTGCCTTGCAACAAGCTTACTCAGCTCAGAATAAGACACGGTACTGAGGGAGCTCAGGGTGGGTGGTGATGGGGGAACTGGAACAGGGTCAATAGAGTTACCAGAAGTATCTGCTCTAATGCCTGATACTTTATGAAGAAAGAATTTGTGAAAATCTTCAGTTTCCAGCAGCTGTAGTGGGCATGAAGCTAGGCTCCTGGTACACCAGAACAGAATTCTGTGTTTTGTAGAGAATCTTATGTTTATGTATTTAGCAGATGCTTTTGTCCAAAGCGACTTACAAGTGATAATCGGCATTTTGCCCTTGAGGCTAACAACAACAACAACTCCTCCATCAGAGGAGGGAACAGGAGTGGACAGTAGAGAGGGCGGACAGGTGCAGGGAGGGTGCTAGTTTAGAAGATGCTCTCTGAAGAGCAGGGTCTTCAGGAGTTTCTTGAAAATTGAAAAGGAAGCCGCTGTTCTGGTAGTGTTAGGAAGGTCATTCCACATTTGTGGAATGACGCATGTGTAACGTGAGGAAATATGGGTTTTCTGTCACAATGGTGGTGCTGGACTCAGCTGGGTCAAAGCTGGGTCATTGAGAACTTTCACCCACAGATTAAGACCTGAACGCCAGCGAGTCTGGGAGGAAACCATAACATCTGCCACCTGCGGTACCAGAAGAAGGAGTTCTCATGGACAAGTAGTCATAACAAATCAAAACTTAAAGTTTAAACTTCTTTTTCTGGATTTTAATGTTAAAGTAACCATTATCATTTTGCTCATTATAAATGTGTTTAATCAAATGAATGACTATTATGCTTTGGGGTAATTATAATGGCTTAATGAATCCATTCTTAAATAATGTTGAGAATGTTTGGTACTGACCTTCACACACACTCAAGCACACAAACATTCACACACACCCACACACATCTTCCCACAGTAAACTCCAGACACATTTGATGACGCACACGTTTGCTTTGAGAAGAGAAAGGTTTTTGGTAAGTTTCAGTCTTATGTTTAGCCAGTTCGTGCTTGACAACGAAAGAGAACAGACCTGAAGGGGGGACAGAGCCTGTTGGCTCGTTTCTTCCCTCCCCCCCTTTTCACGCTGTTTCTGTCAGCCAGACAGAATAGCTGAATCGCAACTTCTAACGCAGACTCATTACCGAGTCTTTTGATTTCTGAGTGAATTAACTTAAGAAAGCGCGTCGACAAAACGCTTTACCATCAACGTGTACCGAGGGCAACTCTGGACCGGTTCCGTTCGACACCTACGTCTTCCCTGTCAGCCGTTGAGTGTCATCTGGATGAACCACAACATCCTCCACGGCCCGGATCCGAAAGAGGGTCCACAAGAGTTCGGTGAGACAGCACACGGTGTTTAGCGTTTGGATGCATCTTTTCCAACTAAACCTAAGTTTATTCAAATCATCACTTTTCACTCAGACACCTGTTTCTTCCTGAAGCAAAATCAGATGCACACACGCATCCATCTCACCTCATCTCACCACACTTTGCACCCACACGCATCCATCTCACCTCATCTCACCACACTTTACACCCACACGCATCCATCTCACATCATATCACTCTCACAACTCACAACATTCTCAATCTTCATAAATTCACCAGAAGGTCTATTTGAGCAAGAACAGCATATCAACTGTTAAAGATTGTCCCACAAAGTTGCCAATGTTGATTTTTATTTCCTGTTTGTCAATTTTCAAAATCATTAGTTTAATTTGAAGAATTAAAACTTTTAATCGTCAAACTGGTTTCCTCATTGAACTGAAACACAGACACTCAGATATTATCGGCAGTTTATCGATGAAAACAACCTTTGAGTCTTCTGAACAATATAAAACTTGGTTATTGAATATTAAAAATTAATATTCCGAATTAATACGTAGCATGGTTCCTCTATCATAAAAGAGCATAAAACCACAACGCTACACATGAGAAGACTCTGGATTGTCCTGAGCGTGGTGTAGGCACTGCTAGCCGACGATCCTGTGATGACCAGAGCGGCCGGGCCGAGACGTAAGCCTATGCAAGAGGATTCAGGTAGATTGGAGACGTACCGTCTCTGACTTTGTATGCTAGTGTTAGCAATTTGAATTTGTTGCGTGCTGCTAGCGGTAGCCAGTGGAGCTCAATGAACAGAGGGGTGACGTGTGCTCTTTTTGGCTGATTGAAGACCAGACGCACCACTGCGTTCTGGACCTTTTGAAGAGGTCTCACAGAACAGCCTGGAAGACCAGTTAGAAGGGCATTGCAGTAATCGAGGTGGGAGATGACAGTAGATTGCACCAGGAGCTGGGTGGCATGTTGTGTTAGGTATGGTCTGATCTTTCGTATGTTATACAGCGCAAAGCGGCATGAACGAGCAACAGAGGCAACATGATCTTTAAAGGTCAGGTGTTCATCAAACACAACGCCCAGAATTCGAACTGCCTTTGAAGGAGCCAGAGATAGGAAGTCATTTTGGATTGAGATATTGTGCTGTATGGAATCTTGGGATTCTTAGAGTTTGTTTCAATGATGTTTGCAAAATATGCCGTTCTGGCAGCCCTCACTGCATCCTGATAAGCAACCAGAGATGCTTGAACAACTCATGCGAGACCTGTAGGCCATCCTTTTTCCACTTTCTCTCAGAGGATCTACACGCCCGCCTACAAGCCCGTGTGACATCAGAGAGCCAAGGCTCCCTCCTAGGCCTAGACTTGCACAGTTTGAGAGGGGCAACCACATCCAGGACCTGATTACAAAGTAAATCAAAGTGTTGTGAGTAATGATCAATGTTAGATGGATCAGGGTTAAAGGTCTCTAACCTTACAGACATGCAGTCCACAAACTTTGCAACAGTTTCTGCATCCAGGGCTCTGAACCTAGTAGCTGGAGCTTCACACACAGGGACAGGACATGGCAACGTAACATGACAGAGTATAGGAGAGTGATCAGAGAACACAGGAGGCAAAGTCACAAGGTTCATGACAGGGAGACCAAAAGAGAGAACCAGGTCCAGGGTGTGACCCCTGGCATGAGTTGGGGACGATACCCATTGAGTTAAATTGAATGAATCTAGCAAATTCAAAAAGCCTTTAGTAAGCACATTGTCAGTAGCCTAGTGAACTAGACCACATTCTTGCTTTGCAAAGTTTGTAATAATACATTAAATAATACATTTGTTTAGTCTGGCTTGCCAGGCTACACTGTCAGGACAGCAGATATGGATGTTAAAATCCCCAAGAAATAGGACATAGTCATATTTTAGGATGCAGTCTGCCACAAGATCATAGAAATCATTTAGGAAGTTAGAGTCAGTCTTTGGAGGGCGATGAATCAGCACGACGAGCAGGCGGGGGGAGATGCACAGTTCAAAGGAAGAAAATGACATGGTGGGTGTGAGCTGTTTACAAGGAAAGCTGGATTTAAAAACAACAACCAGCCCTCCACCTCTGCCCTGCGATCTACGGATATTAAAACAGGAGCAGCCAGGTGGTACCAGCTCCAGCAGGGCGCTTGAGTCACCAAACGGAATCCAGAACTCATAGATGCACAGAAAACAAGCCATATTGAATAAAAAAATCCCAAAGAATAAAAGATTTGTTCTGCACAGACCTGGCATTGACCAGACCAAACCGGGTCTGCGGCGGGGCCGCAGCACCAGGATCACGCACCGTCTCCTCCAACTCTGAGCCCGTAACCGAGCGTAGATTCTCCCAGCAAACCCCACTCTGGCAAGGTCCTCAAGCCGATTGGCCATGGCGCGGTGCCAGCTCACCCTCAAAGCCGGCCAAGTTCACAAGGCAGGGCGCAGAGTAAACCATCAGACGTCTCTGAACCACCGGGCCACAAGCTGGGCCGAATCAGACCCAGCTTGTGGCTTAAGGACACCTGAGAAGGCCCAGCAGACACAGGAATCACTCCTAAAGACGACACTGCCCCTGAGACCTGGGCTTGCATAACAGGGTGAAAACAGACAGGTGGCAGTTATATTTCATTACAAACATCTTTCAAAAGGACTTAAAAAGACAAAAAATAGCTAACTTCATGAAAAACAACATGTTTCCTTCTCAAAACATCTGTCTTCAGTCCAACATGCATACAGGGACTGGTATGTGACACTGGAAACCAATTATCAGGGATTTCACTATAAATTAGTTACACAATATAAATAACAGCATCTTTAAAGAGGTAAACACAAAAAATTAAATATGTATGATTATGGTGTTAATCAGTGCGTTTACATGCAGCCAGTAACCCTTTTAAAACCCGAATATTCGCAATAGCCCGGTTCCGCAGGTCCATGTAAACACCGCCAATATGCTCATAACCGGGTTTTTAAAAACCCGGTTACTACACCTGGGGTAACCCTTTTCTAACCCGAATGTTTGGTCGTGTAAACGCATATCGGGATGTCCCCATCAAAGCGTGTGTTCTGCGCATGCTCTGTTCGCAAGGAATCTTGGTCTTTTGAGTAGCGAGACGTCTTGTACGCGCCAGAACTCCGGAAGTAAACAAGTTGGGAGCAACATGGCGAGTCGCGGCACAGCACCACACTTTTGGAGTGACGAGGAAACCTCTGTGTTCATCGGTCTGGTTCATCTTGAAGGAGAGGATGATGATGATGTTATGGATGAAAACACAGGTAAGTCACATGACTTTCTCAATCCAATACGTATACCAACAAAGGGTTTCGCTCTCGGAGTTAGATACATGCGTCGACCCATCTGTGTTTAACCTATCAGTAACATCTTTTTTAACATCAAGCTGTAACATTTTGCTTGTTTTTATGTCTGGCCAGATGCAGATATTGGAGAAGGTGGACCTTCAATGACTGTGCCTTGCCAGTCTACACAGCCATCAAATCCCACTGCAGCTATTCCTGGTGAGCTTTCTAAATACTGTTACTAAAGGCATAACTGGTTATAGCGTATTGTAACCCCAGGTCACTCCTCCTCCTTGTGTAATGTCTGAAAATAGTACCTTTCTTTAGTGGATAATTTGATTACAGTGATTATGAGATATTATGTAATATAACCGTTGACCCAAACTAAGGACTATCGTCACTTTTTGCATTCTTAGTAAACTCAGAATTGTAGGAAGATGTTTGTTTATGACGGAGGAGCAGGTGACAATCGGACACATGTCAGCTAAAGGTAAAGAAACCTCTTCTAGAATCCACAAGTTTCATAAGAATGCAAAAAGTGATAATAGTCGAACACTAAGAGAGAACTTACCCAACACTTTCTAAGGCCTGTCATGTCTGCTCTAGGTGGGTCAAGTTGCAGGTCCAGGCACCGTGGAGCCGCTTCACTTACTCAACATCAACAGTTCATGAGAGAATGCAGCACACGCAGAAGCAATGGTTTGAGCAGCAAAGGCAGTTGAGACATGCCAGTGATGAGGCACTCATGTCTCAGATGATTTCTGAATCAACCTCACATTTAAAAAGCAAAACCAAAATGTTATTTTGTTATGTGCTTTATTAAAGAACAAATGTTTTATTAAACTTACTAGAAAACTTGTATGTGTTGACATTTTATTTGAACATTGCACATACCTGTTCTTTTTCAGAGGTGCACAGCAACAAAGGAGAAGGCAGATAAACATCTTTTAAAACTTAGAAAATAAAGCGTTTTGAAAAGTATCGAGCTTACAGTTTAAAGTTGTTTGTTTCCTATCAGAGCCATTCGTCCTGCACACTCACGCTCTTACTAAACGCTTACGGAGTGGGACACGTGCAGCAAGGTAATCAGGGCCCGTCTGATAGCTGAGGCTGCACTGTTATCAGCCCTATTGACCTGTGACACAGGCTGTGGAAACAGCCTTTCTATTGATGTGGCCTCCTCTGCCTATCTGGGATTAACACGCTCCTTCTCCATCTCACAAAAGTTGTGTAGAGCACAACAGGTTGCTACCACGCATGATGTGAAAGTAAAATGGAAGTCACTGCGCTTCAACAGAACACGGAAACGAGATTTCAGTCGACCAAATGCTATCTCTATAGATGTTCTAGCAGAACTCAAATAGACGTTGAAGCTTTCCTCTTGTGGTGTCAGTCTTGGGGACTGCAGATAGCCCTTCATTAGCCAGGGCATCAGTGGGTACGCAGGATCTCCCAGCAGGAAGAAATCCACATCCTGCCCCTCGATCTGCATTGCTCTCTAAAGTGGGACAGATAGAAATATTATTCTTCCTAAATTATGTCATAATACATCTTAGATATGTGGCAGGTATGCAACTTGCATTTAAATACCAAAAGTTTTAATGCATTACCCACCTTTGGGAAGGACTGTGCGTTGTTGAACAGATTGGACTGGCGGAGTGCATTGGCGTCAAGTGCTGAACCAGGCATTTTGCAGCTCACACTCCAAAAACTATGGAAAATGTTTCACAGTGAATCAAGATGTAGTGGGAGCGGTGTGATTAGTGGCAAAAAGTTAGGAAAATTATTTCAGGTCAGTAATGACATAATTATTTGTACATATAAGCTGTTGATGTTTTTTTGAACAGATAACCTCTCAATTGACGTTTGTGAGTGGTTCTAATATAGCTTAGTGATGTGTGTCTGTCAACGTTATATACAAATCATAATCATGAATACAAAAGCTGGGAATGGCTAAACACCTACCAGTATTTGTCATCACAGACTCCCTGGAGGACATTGGATGGCCATCCCTTCCTGTTTATGAAGTCTCTGTAGCCATCACTTGGAGGCAAGCAAGGGATGTGGCTCCCATCCACACAACCTATGATAAAAAGTAAAAAAAAAGAAAGAAAAAGTATGCACACAGCAGTGTAGCCTACATACATAGTATAGTTCACATTTAGCCTACTCTCAGACAACTACTGACATTAACAAGACATAAGAGCAGGAAATATTTTACCTATGATTTGAGGAATGGAGTGGGCACGTTCAAGTCTTTGTGCAATGCCACATGCCTCCTCCAAAGTGGGTACCCGGATCAGTGTTTTGATGACAGAGTCGACCATTCCGTGGCAGAATAGGTACACCATCTTCTTCACGGTGCTCTTGTGCACTCCAAATTGGTTTGCTATCAAACGACACTCTGCACAGCTTGCTAGTTTATACAGCACCATGGCAACACGCATTTCTGTAGGCACTGGTGTGCGGATGGTTACTACACTGGGCTCCATCACTCTTTCCATCATACCACAAAGTTTAGCAAAAGATTGACGTGACATACGGAAATTCTCACGCCAATCCGTGTCCGTGAACTCCATCATTACAACCCGCTCCCACCAGTCCTGGCTGCGCACCTTCATCCAAAGTGTCCGCGGGGCTCTGGTGGTAACGGGTACCGTCGATATGTTGGATAGGTTTAGCGCAGCTCTCTCTATATTTGCAATTTCTTGCTCACGTACTCTCCTTCAAATGAAGACCAGTACGCACAGTCGTTTTAAGAGCTGCTGGTGGGTCAATACCAGCAATAAAGCGCAAACAAACGCTCTCGCTGTCTCTTCCGAACTGAGAAACGTGTTGTTGTTTTCATGGATACCGGAACAAGATGAACTGGAAATGAAGCATATTGCGTCTTGACGTCATCCATACGTCCTGACGCTACCGCAATGTCCGCATTGAAAGCGGGTTATGCAAATTAGGGTTAACTCTGGCTTGTAAACGGGTTATTCTGATCAACTCAGAAACCCGAATACCGACCGTAACCCGATCATAACCCGGATATTGGCTGCATGTAAACGTACTCTATGTGATCTACATGGTTAACTTCAGTTTAAAGGCATTCCATGAATGGGAGGAGGATCTTTGTCATTTAAAACCGATGCCACCACCATCCCCCTCCTACCTTTCACAGACATGCAAATGCTGAAACGCTTTGGGAAGGTTTACATTTCAATAATAATAAAAAACCAACCTCTCTTCCTTTGTGCAGGTCAGAGATGCTTGTGTCAGCAAGCCAATCCAATTTCCACCGGTTTGTGGAAATGTGATTGTGTTGTTGTTCAACTGAGGAGATCCATGAGGAGACACATGCATGGGTGTGCATGTCCTTGTTTATGCACAGTGGAGATGCAAAAGAAAACAGAAGGGAAGAACTTTTATTGTCTTGTATAGAGCTCTGGACGTCACATGACTCTCAGAGAGTAGACGCCATGTTGGCAGGCAACAAAGGTAAACAAAATGAACGGGATCGGCTTGGATTTTACTCCGTCGGAGTTTACTTCACACTTTAAAACCGAAGAAATCGTTTTAAATCGTCAGAAATTAAATAGATTAAACACCTCCGACCCTTACCCCCCCGGGATACTTTTTAAAAACGCCAGAAGCTGTCGGAGCGGACCTGGCCAGGGAACTCCTTGGAAACTTCCCTGGAGGAGCTGGCCCAAGTTAGCCTAGTGAACTAGACCAAATTCTTGCTTTGCAAAGTTTGTTAAATAATACATTTATTTAGTCTGGCTTGCCAGGCTAGGCCCAAGTGGCTGGGGAGAGGGAAGTCTGGGCCTCTCGAGCTACTGCCCCCGCGACCTGACTCCGGATAAGTGGATGAAAATGGTTGGATGGATGGACAAATAACATATTTACATGTTAGAAGTTTAAATAGAGGGCTGTGCTGTTTGAATGTATAAACTGAACGCCAAGAGAAATCACTAGTCTGATTTTTTTCCGTGAATAAAATAAATATGTCAGGCAGGAGCGTCTCAGGATCTGTCTGAGATCTGTCTCGGTGAGACAGATAATAGCAATTCAAAGTGCTTTTAATGTGTGATCTGACAATTGATCAACCATTGCTTAAAATTAAATACAGCTTAGCCGGTTAATTGCTGTGATCATAAAACACGTAAACGGCAGCACGCAGAACTCACGAGGCAACGTTTTACGTGATGTTTACTTGTTGCTATGAGTAATAAGACAGAAAAAGCCACGCCAAAATAAGTTTAGGAAGCCCACTAAGAATCGTAATAAAAGCATTTAAAATAAATACCATACACAGTTGAGGAAACGTTGGTTTAAGTACCTGATATGAAGTGATCGCTGCATAAGCGAAAACCTTTACTCTCGGGGTCCCACAGTTTCATTTTAGCGCGGTCACTAGCGCGTTTTATTCCGATGATCCAACGTTTGCGGTGTTCCGGATCTTGGGGAATCCTGTAGATGGCTCATTCCTTATGTCGTCCGCGTCTTTTCTGCATCCTGGGGCACAACAGGAATCTACCATATTTCCTGTCTGATTGAGTTTTCTGACAATAACAAATAGCCCAGCTGCGGGCTACTGCCTGCCAAGATGGCGCTAGGGCTGCTCGATTATGGCAAAAATAATAATCACGATTATGGTGACTGAAATTGAGATCACGATTATTTAGGACGATTTTTCAATTTATGTTGATTTTATTTGTTTTTATTCAGTCATAAAACTGCTCAGGGCACAATCAGGACAAAAATAAGAAACAAGATGATCACTAAAAGAACCCCTTATTCCCAGGATAAAAAGACCAATATACTTATAGCTCATAGTCTATGACCCAAGGGCTATAGACCTTGAGTCTAACCAGTACAGAACCAAATACCAATATCTTGCAAATACTGACAGCAAGAATTATACAGTGGCATTTATAACAAATAAATGCAAATAAATTGATGTTCACAAAATGTTACATAACATTTATTGAGTCGTATCAAGGTGCTGTAGGAGAGTTCACTAGCACCGTGTCCTCAGAGAGATTAGTTATCAGCGTGAGGAACTTATTTCTACCTTATTTATAAACTATTTATTTACAGGTCCATCAGTTAATGTAATAATTGTCCCGACCACAGCTGCACCCCCCACCCCCCCACCCCGGTCTCACAGCAATCGGGCAAGCTGCACGTGTGTTTAGCACGCCGCACGCGCACATTTAGCTGTTTTTAGCTGCTCAGGAGACCGCAGGTGCGGTGTGTGTGTCACTCACTCTGGTTAATCCAACAAGGAGCCGGCTCTGAGAGCTGTTTCTTTAGCGACCGACACATCACTACATCATTCCCTTTCCTAATGTCCTGAAGAACGGTCCGGAGCGCAGGTGGAGTGTTTAGCTAACCTGCAGGAAATGTCGACGACAGTTATCCAGAAAGTAGCTAAGGGTTACCAGAGATGTTTCTGAGATGTTCGCTAGGTACTTTTAGGATTAAAAAGTCAAGAAGGGGGTCTGAAAAGCTGCTAGAAATAGCGTCAAAGTCGCTAAGTTGGCAACACTGTGGAGGAGCGCTTCATTTGCAACTTAGGGCAGCGCAAGCGGGAGGAGCAAATAATCGGCTTATGTTTTTTATAATCGTTCAAAACTCAGATCGTAATCGTGATTAAAATTCGATTAATTGAGCAGCCCTAGATGGCGCCATTTCGATTTGAACTGTTGCATGCCGGGAGAAGTGACGTCACCTCCCGGAGCTCTCACATTTGCAGATCTTGACTAAAGGCAATGAGGATGATAAAGATCTATCATGATACTGACAAACATACCGGTATGAGGCTTTTGGCCCCCAGGGAATGCTTCTAAACAAGCCCACGCTCCTCTGAGATCCTGTATGAGACCCCTTCGTGGGCTCAGGCCTGAGGGCCAGCTCTGGCTGCTGTTTCCCAGCTGAAAAACAATCCTCACTGTATTCAGGGACCAGCCGTTCCCTCATCCTCCTAAAGACTTATCTTGCTGCACCTTAGCCCCATCTAATTAACTCCAAATTCCTCTTGTTTACAGGATTTCTGACAGCTGCCAACACCTTCAGCTGAACGTGATCCCACGTTTTACCCTCTGCAAGCATCTTTTGTCACCTCTGTGTGGGTGAGTAACACCGTCTTCTGGTCAGGCCCTTCTCTGTTGTAGCAGTAGCCCAGAGACAATTCGGTAATCACACCTGCAGCCTTCCTCACTGCCAGCTAACGGCAGCCCGAAGGCATGGCTACAGAGAAAACTGGAGTTTATTGGAGTGACTGTGCTGTTTGTCAGACGTTAAAAAAGGGATGTGTCACGGTGTGGACATCATTTTTGTCACTCTGCACGCTGACGCATGACATCAAACTCTACGTGGTTTCATCACTCTAACATCAGTCATTTACAAAGGTAAAACCTTGAGTTTTTGTGTTATTAAATAAAGTAAATATTCTGCCTTGAGCTGTGGGCAAACTACAGTGAATCTGACATGAAAGAATGTGCAGTACTTACTCTCTATTAGCAAGAAGACAGGCTTCACAGCCATCATCGATGGGGTGGAGTTCCCTGTGTGGGCTGTGATGTGGTTAGAGGGATATCTGTGTGGGTGCACACCCAGGAGAGCTGTGGCTTCTCGTGAATCCAGGGCACTAATTTCATAGTTTTGCTCTGTGGCCTGTCATCAGCGCTCTTATCAAAAATACATACCAGACCGTAATCAGGAGAGGACCGAGTGGCTGCCAAATACCTCAGAGCCTGTGAGCACAAATGAAAGATGAGGGAGTGAAGAGGAGGAGGCATGTCGGGGTAGAAAGGAGAAATGAAAAGTGTAGATTAGTGCTGATGCATTTTGACGACAACTAAAGCAGGCTTAGTAAAATTATGGAATTACCTGAACAGGGAAACAAAAGATTTGTGGTTAAAATGATATTTGTTGGTTTTTTTAGTTGGAAAATCAGATCAGCAGGTGATTAAAACTGTTTCAATAGGATTGTAATTTAGTAAACAGGGGCAGATCATTTTTCTTTTGTGCTGATGTGTTTTTATTTTGTCATTTTGAATTAATACAAATAACATCAACTTTAATAGCTGCTTTTATGAGTGTGTGCTAATGTTGTGTTAAATTATCTGTCCAAGTCCAGTAGCCTTCGATCCAGTGAGGACCGACAGCATGTCTGGACAGGTCACCAGTAGCTGCCACAGCACAGAGGAAGAGGACCCATCTCGATCCTTTCAGAGTAAACACAACAACTCCCCGCTGCCCCTTCATTTCCCAACAGAGTGGAAACCCATGAAGGAAGCATTTATATTTCCACAACAAGCTCCGTCTGTAAACAAGAAGCCTTCTTCCCTCCCGTCTCTTCCCTCCAGATAAAGGCGGTTTTGTCAGGAGGAGCAGCTTCAGTTCCCACCAGTTGTAGAACCACGTGTGGGCGGGGATGCGCACGAGCCGACTCCAGCAGGGGAACTCCAGGAGCCAATCAGAAGTGAGCAGCGCCGGCGTCGGTACAGCAGCTGCTCGCGAGCTCTTTAAAAGCCTCGCGTGCTCCTCGGCGGCAGCAGCAGTCAGTCCCAGCTCCGCTTCAGCCCATCCGGTTGTGTTCCCCCCCGCTGCAGGAAAACGGGATTATTTAAGCGCTTTTAAGGCTTTTTTCTTCTAACCGGAAGTGTGAGAAGATGCGACTCATCCAGAACATGACGACCATCGCGGAGTGTACGGCTCCCGAGTACTCGGTGCCGAGCCGGGTCATTAAAATCGCTGTTATTGGAGGCAGCGGTGTGGGGAAAACCGGTAAGGAAGTGGGTTAAAAAGCTCCCATTTAATGATCAAATACACGTCAGAGCAGAGAGTTTAATGTTGTTTTCGCTCTGTTCTTGTAGCGTTGGTGGTGAGGTTTCTCACCAGGCGTTTCATCGGAGACTATGAGCGAAATGCTGGTAAGTTTATTTTAAAGAGCAAAACCCTGAACTAAGTGTCTCTAGACCTCTCGGTGTTAAAGTTTTATGCGTTCTTTTATGTGCGCAGGTAATCTGTACTCCAGAGAGGTCCAGGTGGACGGAGATCCGGTGACCATTCAGGTGCAGGACACTCCTGGTGCAGAGGTGGGTTTCCTCAGTCACAAGTCAGCTGAGCCCTAACATCTATCAACGTTTTCTAGGACCACCTGAGGCTAGAATAATAGGATCCATGTGTGCTGTCTGGCTGTGATCTCATTTTAGCTTCTGCTCCAAAATCAAAGGTGCAGTAGGTGTACCAGGGGCGGCGTTAGGCCCGGCTACTTGGGCTGAAGCCCCGGATCTTTCATGATAAGCCCCGGATCTAAATCTCTAAATCGCGGAAGTAACATGCAGTACCAAAGTCACACAGAGAGGGCGCAGCTGGCAGTAGTTTGTAAAGTCCCATTTAGTCGTCACACACACAGGTGTGTGGTGAAATTTATTCTCCGATTTTGACCCATCCCCTGAGTTGCAGACACGCCGCGCTCGGGAACTATTTGGTGGTTTAACCCCCCAATCCAACCCCAATCCAATGCTGAGTGTCAAGCAGGGAGGCATTGGGTCCCATTTTTCTCAAAATCTTTGGTATGACCCGACCAGGAGTCGAACCCCTGATCTCCCGATCTCAGGGCAGACACTCTACCACTAGGCTACTTAGTCAGTATACAGTTTACCTGAGACTGAAGAGAAGCCCTTCAGCAGCTGGCTTCTGCAGTCTCTGTCTGAAACGCATGAGTGAAGATGGATATAAGGACGTTTTTTTAGACCAAAAGTACAACGACAGAAACCCAGCTCTGATGAGACTGGTGTTGACTCAGGTTTGTGAGTCTTATTTGAAAATATTTGTTGTGCTGCTGGTTTGCCTAAAGTTAGCTTACTATCAGGTAAAGTTGTTGGAGAAAGAAAGGGAATATTCACTATCATCTCACACTAAACACTAACAGGAACAATACTCTGCCCTGAATATGCTGAATATGTAGCTTCAGATTAAACATTATGTGGTACAAGACAAATATATATGATGTTGACTAGTGCGTGTCACGTGTGTGCGCGCATGCGTGTGTGTGCGCGTGCGCGCGCGTGTGTGTGCGCGCGCGTGTGTGTTAAGCCCCGGATCTTCTTCAGTCCTAAATCCGCCCCTGAGGTGTACACCTCCCTCTCTGGATGTCTACGCTCCCGTTTAGGTTAATGGGTGTCTGGGCTAGAGTAAATGATACCCGGCCAGATCCAGCCTTCCCAATCACCCACATCACTCTGCTCTGCAGCAGTAATCCTATAGCTCCCGTCTGCCCCAGTCAGCATTCCAGTCATTACAAGTTTCTCTTGCAGAACATTTAATCTGAATTCAGACCCTTTTTTCTTTAGTTTGGCAGAAAACTGTTGAATGAGCCCTTTTGAGAAATCTGAATCTATCCTTGTTCCTCCCTCCTCAGATGACTGGTGATGGCATCAGCCTGCCTGACCATGCAGCCTGCTCCATCCAGTGGGCCGATGCCGTGGTGCTGGTGTACTCCGTGACCGACAGGGGCAGCTTCGATTTGATCGAGAACTTGCACCAGCTGGTCGTGCGTGCCGGAGGGGCCGGTATCCCGCCGGTGATCCTGCTGGCGAACAAGGCAGACCTGTTGCACCTGAGGCGTGTCGATTCCCAGCAGGGCCCTTTGCTGGCGGGAACTCTGGGCTGCTCCTTCTACGAGGTCTCCGCCAGTGAAGACTACAACCAGGTGCATGGGGCTTTTCACAGGCTTTGCTGCCAGCTGGCCAAGCAGCCACCCTCACTCGCCAGCTGTTCAGCCAGCGCCACTACAGAAAAGAGGAGATCACCTCTGATCCCCCGGCCAAAGTCTCCCAACATGCAGGATCTGAAGAGGCGCTTTAAGCAGGTGCTGTCTGCTAAAGTCCGAACTGTCACCTCAGTGTGAGGAGGAGGAGGATTGGAAGCTGAAACTGGCCCAGAGTGGTCAGATCAAAGATGACCGGAGTCTGTCTCCATTAAAGTCCTGTATCAGTCTGAGTGATGAAGGCAGGTGTGACATGAACGGATAAAGCTGCAGGTAGACTGATCTTTAGGCAGGCCTGTTGGTGGGTGGCGCCTGTCATGTCTGATAATGTGTAAAGAAAGCAGGGAGGATCTGCTAAGACATTTGAGGATGGATCCAGCCAACCGCATATAAATGAAAATAAAAACGGTTTAATCCAGCTCTCCTGGCAACAGCAGCTCTGAAGTATGGCTTATTTTTAGCAGAGCGGTTCATTGTCAAGCTGCCACTAGATTGGCACCGTTAAAGGTTGGCATTCCACCAACCACTCAAAGCCGGGACTCCGTGGAGCTGAGTGTATGCCCAGTCTGGTATGTGAAGATATACTTGGTGTTTGAGCTTTCAGCATCACCACTGTGCATGACAGAGTGATGAGGTATATGAGGGTGGGGCAACAGACACCGGCTGTAGCACGGGCTGATTACGACCACTGTTGCACTTTATGAAAGTCCAAAGGGCCTATTATTTGGTACTGTTTCTCTTTGTGCACAATAAAAAAATAAGTTAAAAATTGTTTCTGAATTCTGTTCCACCTGCACATTAAAAAAGCTGCAACATCTTTATTTTATCCCTGCGTCTGCATGTAGAGTCTGCGCTGTCCTTGATTGTCCCAGTGTGGAGGGGATGACGCACACAGACTCGTCTGACCTGTCTATACCGGCTCTTCAAAAAGGCCTTGAGGACAAAACAGCGCAATGAAAAGCTTCAAGACAATGGAGCGATGACTAAACAGCTGCCTTTTGAATCTGTTGGTCTGATGAATGCAAAAGCCACAGCTTTAAAAATGCAGTTCAAACCGAAAGGTTTTATTTGACTTTATTAGGATTTCTTAGCTTCTGGGAAAAAATACACAAAGCATATACACGTGTCATCGAAGATCAGTCTCAATAAAAACCTTCACAAAAGCCAGAGGCCACTAGGTATGTGGGAGAAATCTCCGAGCTGATCCATGTTAGAAAAAAAAAACAGTGGAGGAGATCTAGTGTAGGTGAGCAGCAGCAGAGGTGTCCTTTCACACGTCTATTTGTTGGGGTGATGTTACTAATGGTGCCTGCTCTGCCAGCTACAGCAGCGTGACCTCTCCCTTTCACACCGGGGGATAAACGACTAACAGCTGTGTGCACAAATGACAAACGTCACATTTCCTTTTCTGAAAAGTAAATCACTTTATTGTTTCACATGTAGTGAAGTGACAATTCAAATGGCAGAAACGTTACACATTTCTTTTATTGGTGTACATGAAAGAAATGTTATTCAATTTTCTTGCTTTTAACGCATCTAATTCAAATCACACCTGACGATTGTCCAGTCATTTGAACTGCGTTGATCTCCACGTGCCGACCCTTTAGAGACCAATGTCAGGCTCCAGTCGTCGTGTGGCGAAGAGCAGCTCTGGGATGTCTGTTGGTCTTAGTAAGCGGGTGGAGAGAACCAGCACCTGGAGCGAAGGAAAACATGTTCATCAGGGTTAAATTATGTCAGCGTGTGTAACTGGACACTCAGCATTTAAGCACATGTGAAGGTCACGATGGAGTCAACACATCAGCGATCAACAAGGTGCACACATCAAGCGCATCGGCAGCAGACTGCTTTTCAGTGTTTAAGTGCTTCTGGTAAAATGCCACTTTCAAGATGTAAAAATGTCTTTTAGTAGGCGACATAAGGCCTTTGTGAAGATATGGTCAAATCTAAATTTAAAGGAAGTTAGTTTTTCGTTGTCCAGTTTTGTAGAGAAATATTACAGCATTATTATAACAATTCTTATGTTACATAAGCTTTCCACACATAAAGCCAGCATGGATGTTTATTCAGACATAAACTCATCACCTCTGCACATAAAAGTCTCTGAAAAGAGAATAAGAATTCATAGTAACCACCTGCAACTCCAGCTGGGTCATTTCGTTGTTCTCTTACACAAACCGTTCACATTCACCTGTGAAGGCTGCGGGACCTGAGGCTTCACATACAGAATTATCTTATCAAGTAAAAAACAAGTTTGAAATGTCAACGATAGACTGATTAAAGGACAAATATTGTAATTTCCATGCAAGGACAATGTTCTGTTTTGTTTTTTAAAATACCAAATTGTAAAATAACAATCCAGGCAACATAATTGGCTCTGAAGAGTTTTCATTCATTCAGCAGTCAGTTTCACTGTGTTTGAATAGGTACGGACACAACTGAGATTATGCTGGAGAAAAAACAAACAAACAAAAAACCTTTAAAATTCTGATATTAAAACGGTTGGCTCAACCATAGTAAAACCGTCGGTAATATAACGCTTCGTCGTCTTCGTCTTCCTCCGCTTATCCGGGTCCGGGTCGCGGGGGCAGCATCCCAATTAGGGAGCTCCAGGCCGTCCTCTCCCCGGCCTTGTCCACCAGCTCCTCCGGCAGGACCCCAAGGCGTTCCCGGACCAGATTGGAGATGTAACCTCTCCAACGTGTCCTGGGTCGACCCGGGGGCCTTCTGCCGGCAGGACATGCCCGAAACACCTCCCCGGGGAGGCGTCCAGGAGGCATCCTGACCAGATGCCCAAACCACCTCAACTGGCTCCTTTCGATCCGGAGGAGCAGCGGTTCTACTCCGAGTCCCTCCCGAATGTCCGAGCTCCTCACCCTATCTCTAAGGCTGAGCCCGGCCACCCTACGGAGGAAACTCATTTCGGCCGCTTGTATCCGCAATCTCGTTCTTTCGGTCATTACCCAAAGCTCATGACCATAGGTGAGGATTGGGACGTAGATGGACCGGTAGATCGAGAGCCTGGCTTTCTGGCTCAGCTCCCTCTTCCCCACGACAGATCGGCTCAGCGTCCGCATCACTGCAGACGCCGAACCAATCCGCCTGTCGATCTCCCGATCCCTCCTACCCTCACTCGTGAACAAGACCCCGAGATACTTAAACTCCTCCACTTGAGGTAGGACCTCTCCCCCGACCCGGAGGTGGCAAGCCACCCTTTTCCGGTCGAGAACCATGGTCTCAGATTTGGAGGTGCTGATCCTCATCCCAGCCGCTTCACATTCGGCCGCGAACCTACCCAGCAAGAGCTGAAGGTCAGAGCTGGATGAAGCTAGGAGGACCACATCATCCGCAAAAAGCAGAGACGAGATTCTCCTGCCACCAAACTCGACACACTCCACACCACGGCTGCGTCTAGAAATTCTGTCCATAAAAGTGATGAACAGAACCGGTGACAAAGGGCAGCCCTGGCGGAGTCCAACCCTCACTGGGAACAGGTCCGACTTACTACCGGCTATGCGGACCAAACTCACGCTCCTCTGGTAAAGGGACTGAATGGCCCTTAACAGAAAGCCACCCACCCCATACTCCTGGAGCGTCCCCCACAGGGTGCCCCTGGGGACACGGTCATAAGCCTTTTCCAAATCCACAAAGCACATGTGGATTGGTTGGGCAAACTCCCATGCCCCCTCCATCACCCTTGCAAGGGTATAGAGCTGGTCCACAGTTCCACGGCCAGGACGAAAACCACATTGCTCCTCCTCTATCTGAGATTCAACTATCGATCGGACCCTCCTCTCCAGTACCTTGGCGTAGACCTTTCCCGGGAGGCTGAGGAGTGTGATCCCCCTATAGTTGGAACACACCCTCAGGTCACCCTTCTTAAAGATGGGGACCACCACCCCGGTCTGCCACTCCCTAGGAACTGCCCCCGATGACCACGCAATGTTGTAGAGACGTGTCAACCATGACAGCCCTACAACATCCATAGCCTTGAGATACCCAGGACGAACCTCATCCGCCCCCGGGGCTCCGCCGCTGTGTAGTTGTTTGACTACCTCAGCAACTTCTGCCCCCGAGATCGGACAGTCCATCCCCAGGCCTCCCAGCTCTGGTTCCTCCTCGGAATGCGCATTGGTGGGATTGAGGAGCTCCTCAAAGTATTCCTTCCACCGTCCGACTATAGCCTCAGTTGACGTCAGCAGCTCCCCATCCCCACTGTAAACAGTGTGAGCGAGTTGCTGCCTTCCTCTCCTGAGGCGCCGGACAGTTTGCCAGAACCTCTTTGGAGCCGATCGATAGTCTTTCTCCATGGCCTCACCAAACTCCTCCCACGCCCGAGATTTTGCCTCGGCAACTGCCACTGCTGCACCCCGCTTGGCTATCCGGTACCTGTCTGCTGCCTCCGGAGACCCACAGACCAGCCACGCCCTGTAGGCCTCCTTCTTCAGCCTGACGGCTCCCCGAACCTCTGGTGTCCACCAGCGGGTACGGGGGTTGCCACCACGACTGGCACCGGCCACCTTACGACCACAGCTAGCAACAGCCGCCTCGACAATCGCAGAGTGGAACAAGGCCCACTCGGACTCAATGTCCCCCACTGCTCTCGGGACGTGGTCAAAGCTCTGCCGGAGGTGGGAGTTGAAGACCGTCTTGACAGGTTCTTCTGCCAGGCGTTCCCAGCAGACCCTCACTATGCGTTTGGGTCTGCCAGGTCTACGCGGCATGTTCCCTTGCCATCTGATCCAACTCACGACCAGGTGGTGATCAGTTGACAGCTCCGCCCCCCTCTTCACTCGGGTGTCCAAAACATACGGCCGCAGGTCAGATGATACGACTACAAAATCTATCATCGACCTGTGACCTAGGCTGCCCTGGTACCAAGTGTACCGGTGGGCATCCTTATGTTCGAACATGGTGTTCGTTATGGCCAAACTGCGGCTTGCACAGAAGTCCAATAACAAAACACCGCTCGAGTTCAGATTAGGTGGGCCGTTCCTCCCAATCACACCCCTCCAGGTCAAGCTGTCATTGCCCACGTGAGCATTGAAGTCCCCCAGCAGGACAATGGAGTCCCCTGATGGAGCACTATCTAGCACTCGTCCCAGGGACTCCAGAAAGGGTGGGTACTCTGAACTGATATTTGGCCCATAAGCACAAACAACAGTCAGGACCCGTTCCCCGACCCGAAGGCGCAAGGAAGCTACCCTCTTGTCCCCCGGGGTAAACCCCAACACACAGGCAGAGAGTCTCGGGGCTAACAAAAAGCCAACCCCAGCCCTCCGCCTCTCACCCGGAGCAACTCCAGCAAAGTAGAGTGTCCAACCCCTCTCCAGGTCTCGGGTTCCAGAGCCAATGCAATGTGTCGAGGTGAGTCCGACTATATCTAGCCGGTACCGCTCAACCTCTGCCACAAGCTCCGGCTCCTTCCCCGCCAGCGAGGTGACGTTCCATGTCCCAAAAACTAGTTTTCTTGTCCGGGGATTGGACCGCCAAGGCTCCCGCCTTGGTCTGCCACCCGATTCGCATTGCACCGGACCCTTCATGTTCCTCCTGCGGGTGGTGGGTCCACAGTTGGACGAGCCCATGTATCCGGTTCGGGCTGGGCCCGGCCGGGCCCCATGGGCGAAAGCCCGGCCACTAGGCGCTCGCTCACGGGCCCCAACCCCAGGCCTGGCTCCAGGGTGGGATCCCGGTAACCCTCCGGGCCGGGTACTCCGACTCTTCGTTTTAACCGCCATGAAAGATCCTTCGAACCGTTCTTTGTCTCACCCTTCACCTAAGACCTATTTGTCATGGGAGACCCTACCAGGGGCACTAAGTGCCCCAGACAACATAGCTCCTAGGATCACAGTGGATTCACTTGTTACAGCAGCATCAACAGAGAATAATTTGAAGAAAAATAACAACAAAAGTACATGAATATACACATAGGTAATAAGCTTTTGTAGCGTTCAACTGCTGAAAACCATACATAAAAATGAAACTTGGGTTTCAGAACTAAGCAGCATACTGTAAGAGACACAGACATACTATGGAAATCCAG